ATCTATCTATCTATCTATCTATCTATCTATCTATCTATCTATCTATCCATCCATCCATCCATCCATCCATCTATCTACGGGCAGGGTTGCACTATGTAACCCTGACTGGCATGGAGTTTGAATTCAAGAGATTCACCTGTGTCTGTCCAAGATCTGGACTCAGAGGTGTGTGCAAACACACCCAGATTACTCTAAATCTTTAAAAATTCATGTAAAGAACTTGGTTTAAAAAAAATTCACCACAATCAACACATTACTCTGCCAGTTCTCTCAGTCCCTATGCCAAAGCACCCCCCCCCAAAAAAAAAAAAAAACCTCAAGAACTGCATGTGCCTCTGGAATGTTGCCTGCAGTGCCATTTCCTGTGCCTGATCTCGCATCTAAGCAGGTGCCATACAACCACCGACAGAATCTGAACCCAACACACTGTCTTGCAGCATCTGATTCTCTTTGAAATATAAAAGGGTATATTTCAAACTTTACAGCCTATCTGAAGACTATCACTGTCAGCCATCTTTCCCCTGAATAGTCCTCCAAAATGAAGCTCACCTGCTTGTGCAGCTGAGGAGCTAATGATGACTGGGGCCGGAGCAACAAGCCGAACTGGAGCTCCGAGGCCATTTCTTGCCCCTGCATTCACCACAAGGGCACCAGTTTGGTCATAGTAAGCAGCAGGTGCCAAGACTGGATAACCTGGGATAGTAAGCAGCACAAGTAGAAACCATGTTAGTTAGTCTCAGGTGCCAAGGCTTTAACCACCAGTATTAGGTGGAAATTACTGAAACAAATGACTTGTAAGCATTAAACCACATGGCCATTCTATGTGACATGTTGAAATCTCATTCTACTCCAGCTCCACCTTCCTATGAATGCCACCTGCCCGTAAGACAGACTGGCTTGGTGTTGTTGGTGCTGTAGTACTTAAGGTCAAAAGCTCCCCTGATGAATAACAGAGGGAAAGTGCCTGAGTACTGAAGCTGCTGGTGTGCCAGAATATAAAAGCTCTGTATTCCAGTTGCTAAACTCTACAATGATTCCTAGCTGTGGTGGTGGTTTGGATAAGAATGGTCCCCATAGGTTCATACATTTGAATACTCAGTCCCCAGTTAGTAGAACTGTTTGGAAAGGATTAGAAAGTTTGGTCTCATTGGTGGTGTCACCAGAAGCAGGTTTCGCAGTTTCAAAAGCACATTCCCAATAAGCTCTATCTGCCTTATGCATACGGATCAAGATGGAAGCTCTCAGCTACTGTTCAAACACCATGCCCGCTGCCATGTTCCCTGACACAATGATTTAGCCTCTAACTAACTAACCCTCTGACACTTTAAGCCCCAAATAAACTCACTCTTCTGTAAGTTACTTTGGTCATGGTGTCTTGCCTCATGAATAAAAAAGTAACTAAGACAGCCGTTAGTCTCTCACTGTGTTTCAAATTCATATTGTTTACAGTACACAAGATTCAGTACTAACCACTGTCTGGGTCACATACATGGGTCTTGTTAAGCCACAGTAATCACTGAAACTTCTGAATACGAAAGGAAAAAATGTTTACTTGGCACCAACATATTGTAAATAGTGACAAACCCAGGTTTGGGATTACATGGACCTAGATGTACAACCTGGCTCTGACACTTACATAGCTAAATGAAAGGCCTTGAAAAAATTAAAGATGAGTGCGAAAGGTCTTGGGTGACCAAGAACACTTTAAGAAGTTTACAGTAAAGACAGTATTGTTTTCTTCTGCTGGTCAATGTTAAGACAGAGAATATTTTCTCTTCAAAGTGCTATCCAAGGTTATGTTATTATTTTCTTGACTAAACAAATAACAGAAATGCACTGAGTACAACCACCACGGTATCTGCATACCACACAAAAATAATCCAGGCTACACGGCACAAAAGATAGTGAGAAGGGCTAGGCAAGGTTCAACAAACAAAGTTTTCCATTGCTACTAAGTCTGGAGACTTAACACAGCAGAGAGATAAGTAACAAAATACATGAGGCAAGTTAAGGCTGCTCAGTTTATTAATGAGTTTATCTGGCTACAAGTGGAGAGGAAAGGGTCCGAAAATTAAGGACCTATTTCAAATGTATAACATCAATATATATATATATATATATATATATATATATATATACACACACACACACACACACACACACACACACACACTCTCATGCCAATAACAAGGCAGTTAAAAGACCAATAGACACTGAAGGCATATGAATTTAGAACATCTAGAAATACTACAAATATAAATGTTGGCCACTTTAAAGAACAGCAAGAAGTCATTCTTAGTCATGCTGTCTGTTCAAATACATAGGCATTTAGACCAAAGCCAAAGACTCCCTAGAACTCTGCCCACTCTTCTTCCTGACACAGAGACTTCCCACAAGGCAAAGCTCACATTCTAAGCTTTGAGGACACATCCCTCACATGTGAGGATGACCACGATGACCAATGACTGGCTCAGCACAAAGCTCTCATCAACAACCTCTGGTCTAAGTGAGGGCAAGTATGTGTCATCCCTGCCAGTCCCCAATCATAGCCAAAAGTACTGCATAGTCACCCTGAATTCATACTGTTTTGGCCCCCACGAAGTATCACAAACATCAGCACAACCTTACCTGGCATGCCTGCAGCCAGACCTTGTCCAAAGGCAAGAGCAGAATTCACTGCTGCAGCTGCTACAAGGGGATCTGTTTGTTGTCCCTGCTGGTTCTGATTTGGGGTCAAAGGACGCTGGCTAGCTCCTCCACGAAGTACCTAGGAGTAGGAAACACAAATGCCATTTTATACTTATTGAGAACACCCTATATGCCCTAGTAGAGTTGGTCTTTTAAATGACAGCAATAATAAAATGTTCCCTTTTTTTCTTTTTTCTTTTTTAAGACAGGGTTTTCTTTGTGCAACCTTGGCTATTCTAAAACTCATTCTGTAAACCTTGAACTCAGAAATCCACCTGTCTCTATTCCCCGAGTGCTAGGATGGATTAAAGGTTATGAGACACCACTGGCAAAAATAAAACGTTTATTATGCTGGCTTCATCATATAACATAGCTGTTAGGATAAAAATTCAATTCACCCCACAATATGGTAAAACTTCATTCATTCCAGTATCCTTAGTCGTAAATATTAACTTAGAAACAGCGGAATATGGTGAACAGTGGTGGTGCACGCCTTTAATCCCAGCACTCAGAAAGCAGAGGGAGGCAGGTCTCTGTGAGCTGAAGGCTAGCCTGGTCTACAGAGGAAGCATTCCAGGATAGGAAGGGTTACGCAGAGAAACCCTGTCTTCAAAAGGGGGGGGGGCCCCACTACAGGGTGCCAAACCAGTAGAGTAGCATTGCTTCTTTAATCAAACAGTTAATTCTTAGCATGGATCAGACAATAGGAACATTACTATAAACAAGGCAAGCAAAGCTGATGCACTCTACTAAGAAAGGAAAATAACAGGGCTGGAGAGACAGCTTAGCTTAACATTAAGCTAACATTAATTAACTCTTGAAGAGGACCCAGGTTCAGTTTGCAGCACCCACATGGCGGCTTACAACTGTCTGTGACTCAAGTTCCAATACAGCGAATGCCCTCTTCTAGCCTCGCAGATACCAAGGCACATGTGCATTCATACATGCAAGCAAAACTCTGACACATAAAGCAAAAACATGTAAGTCTAAAGAAGGAAGGAAATACAACACAATACAATGTTAGGGTTCTGACAAGTGGGTAAAGAATAGAAAGGAAAAGGAATGATCAGTTCAGAAAGGTGATAAAACAGCCTAACCACAGATGTACATACACAAATTCTCAAACTCAGGATGTAGCTAAGGATAGCTCATCCTACCTCCACTAGGTATGCTACCATGTTCAGTTTTACATGGTGCTGGGGATGAAACCAAGGGCTTCACCCATGCTAGGAAAACTGAGCTAATACTAACTGAGCAAACTCCCAAACTGAAGCACAGAATTCTTACCACAAAATTTTTCCTTTCATTTTATATGGAGGCTTGAGTGAAAATGGTTCCCCAAAGGTTCATGCAGACCACTTTGTCTCCAGATGGTAAAAATGGTTTTAGAGATATCAGGGGGTGTGCTCTTGTTCGAGAAAGTATGCTAATGAGAGTGAGCTTGAAGTTTCCCAGGGTGCACTCTGACTCCTGCTTATAGCTTAAGATGTGAGCTCTCAGCTGTTGCTACCACCATGCCTTCCATCTGCCTTCATAAACACTGTAACCCTCTGGAACCCTATCATAAGCTTTTTTTTTTTTTTTTTTTTTAAAGACAAGAGTTTCTCTGTATAACCTGGGCTGTCTTGAGCACTCAGGAAGCAGGGGCAGAGTTGAGAAAAGGCCTGCTCTACATAGTGAGTTCTAGGATAGCCAGAACTACACAGTGACTACACAGCGATACCCTGTCTCAGAAAAAGAGCTAGAGAACAATAATTTGAGCATTTGTTCCCTAAGCAGGTGAACCATAACTCAGTCCCCAGCATTGACTTAACACAGTTAGTATGGTGATGTGCTTATCATCCCAGTGTCAGAGGAAAAACAGGAAAATTCCTGGGCTGACTAGCTGGACAGTTCAGCCTAATTTGGTGAGTGCCAGGTCTAGGTGAGAGGCTTGTCTCAACAAACAAAATGGTAGGCTCCTATGGAATGACAGCAGAGGTTAAGCTCTGGCTCACAGAACCCCCAACAACAAACAAACAACTAAATGAGCACTGGAACAAGTATGCAAGCAAGCACACACAGGCACTCACCATTTTATGATGAAGAGCAACATCATCTGTAACACACACACACACACACACAGGCACTCAGTGGTTCATGAACAGATCAACAGCACCTGTGACTCGTTTACACACAGAAGGACACTTAGGCACTCATTGGTCTATGATGAAGAGGAACATTCCTGTGAGTAGCACACAACTATAAGCGGCTCTCACAGGAGTGAATGGTGTTGCTTTACCTGCTGCTGTCCTTGCTGGGCCTGCGGAGCACTCTGCTGAGTAGCAGAATTTGTTGCCGCTGCAGCTGCAGCAGCTTGCTGCTGGAAAAGACTGGCAGGATAAACACCCCATGGAGTGACTCCATAATATTGGTGAGGGACCACAGCCGGGCCTAAAAATAAACAGAGAAAGGTAAGAGCCGTTTAGAAAGAATGACCTTAGGATTATTGAGATCTTTTAAGGTGAGATTCAAAACATATTAACTTAAAGAACACAAAGATTTGTGCTAGCTAGTAATTATGAGAGAGGAGGAAGAACTGAGGTTGACTGCATTTTATTGTCATGGCAATGTCTTCTGAAGCAGAGATTGCACTACAGCCAGACAATGTGAAGAGTAAGGCGATGAAGGGAGGGGAACTAAAGGGACGAGGCTTAAAAATAGGAGAAACTGCATGAGACAAAATCTTATTTGTTAGACAAGGTCTTGCTATGTAGCTCAGTCTAGCTTCAAACTAGAGATGTTCTTTCCTTAGCCTCCCAAGTGCTAGGATTGTATGGGTGTGGACCCGCATACCCAGCCAGAAGTTATGTTTATCCCATGAGAAAGAAAAGATGCATGATGGACAATAGACAAAATTTGCTGCTGAAAGAGAAATAAATGGAAAGCACATGAGCTTAAGCAAAAAGGAAAAGAACAAATTTCAGCTGTGCCATGCCTTCACCATTCACCTGAAGACTAAGGTTTATCAGGCTTCTGTGTTACCAACTCCATATAAAATCTATTATCCTTCTGATAACTGGACCTTCATATACATACAATCTCAAAAATCTTTGATTACTTTTTCTATTTCCATGCTTAAAGTCACAAAGGCTATTTATATTTATTACATTACACACAGACAGACATTGTTATATCAAGTTTTATATTTCAAGTTGACGGCAACTGAACAAAAGCGTGGTGAACCTTAACCCTGACTGATCACAGACCCACTAACCTCAGCAAAGAAACTAAACACTCTGCTCCAAGCCAACTGAGCAGTTCACCTTCTCTGATGATAAGTGACAGCTCCAATGTCTGCCATACCAGGCAAAGCTGCAGGTCTAAACCTAACAAGGTGGCTCAGAGAGCAACTTAGGTGTTGCCAAAGTCTAGGTCAAAATTCCATGCTGAAGTTGGTGACAAACAACACAAAAGATGCGTATATACCCTCAGGACAGTGACAGGGTTCCAAGGGTGAACAGTGTGAGACTATTTTACATAAATACAACAATTTACAGAAGAAGGGAAAATAATAAAGTTTTCAAAGACTGCTCCCTGAATCTTTCTCTGTCACAGCACATGGCTAAACATGTGCAGCCTGACTAACAGTGAGCAAGCCCACACTTGTGTTCTAAGCTGTTTCTAGCACAAATAGTACAATTGTGCTGGCAAAGGAGAGCTTCTCATTAAACAAAAATAAACCAGCACACACTCTCAAGTTTCTAACCTCAAGCAAGTCAGACTGCATCACTGCCTAACGATAGGCTCAGCATTTCTAGCTGGGTGCTGTTTGGTGTCTATGCCTTACCATGACCAAGAATGCCTTCTGCGGAACTTTATAGCCAGATGCAAAATGACAGTGTTGAGGAAACCCATTACAAGATGAACCATCACCTTACAATAAGCAAATGGATTAAAATGGTTTGTTGACTTGTCAGAACCTGAATAGTTCAAAAGCCATTATTTCCAAGCTAAAGAAAATGACGATCTCCAAACTCACCTGACCTGTGCCCACATACTAGCAAGGTAAAGAAAGCCACAGCAGGGAGAGGGAAGAAAGACACTACAGGAAGGGTCCTGGTCCTTGGATTTCTTGCTCACACAGGGGGTAGGTAGCAAATTAAGAATCGGGCCCCGTGGCCTTTGAAAAGATGGATGTGATTTTCAAGCACAGCACTCTAAAAACTTACACGTCCCTTCAAAAATTCTGGCTGGCACTTCTATTACTTCAGCCTTAGTCATGTGGCTGAAATTAAATACCCCAGAGAGCTCAGTTGAAACTGGCTCATCAGAATGCCTGCTTCTATTTCCATGTTAACATAATACTTCCTTCCGTGGTTTGGGTAGTTATCTGGCAAACTATTTAAATCATTTGCAGTCTAACTCATGTGCAAACTGTTAACTACCAATCTATCATTTCATTACACATTCATCATCCTGAAACTCATTCTTTTTTTTTTT